TTAGAGTATTTCCTCTATAGCAGCAGCGTTAAACTTGCTGGAACAGGCATCCCCAAGAAAACTCCATAGCGTGCCAAGGGTGCGGGGCTCCCCGCCGCGTTACACGGGAATGGGGAGCCACCTGCTGGGCTCTGGGGAGAGGCGAGATGTTGCCTGAGTGAGGGAGGGTTTGACTTTACAGGTTATACAGGTTATTCACCCGACTCAAATAGTTCGTAGGTTAGCGTTTTTCGTCATGAATCTTGTTCTGGAGGCAGCACTGAAGTGGTCACTAGCTTGCACAGCCACAAAGTCATAAAATCTGATTTTAAACCTAACCACACTGCTAACCCTAATGCCTAACCCTAACCTTAAATTAAGACCAAAAACCACTTTTATGTTTTCAAGAAGTTTTACAATATAGCCAATTTTGACTTTGCAGCTGGCCCACCTAGCAGAAATCTCTCAGTTCAGCCTCAAGGACAAGACTTCTCCCAATAAACGTCAACCTGCAAATAGTTTTCTTTCATGTAGCTCATGAAGGCTTTTACGCACAACTGGCCTGGAAACGAACTTTGTTTTAACTGGGAAACGGTTCAGGTAGCCCGAAGCATATTCAGACACCTCATTTAATAAGTTGTCTTAGTACCAGTTGTTTAGGAGGCTGAAAGAGTGTCTGAAAGAGTGGTTGAAAGCTTGGTAAAAACTTAAATTAACCGTTCGTTGTTCATCATGCGGACGAACAGCAAAACACGCACACTATTTTATTTATTTTCTGTCTTTTTTTATTAAATTAGACTGTTAAAAGGTATTTCCCTTATGTATTTTGTTGAGCAAATGTAGCCTATGCCTCTTTGCCTGAGCAATTTTGATACCTGACCAAACTAATTCGAGTTACACCTGGGTCAACGCCCATATCCCCAAACACATGGCGCTTAGGAATCCGCGCAATTGGCTATAAGAACTTCGGAACAATATTATACTATTTACGTGACTGACATCACATTCTATGAGTGCAATATCACAAATTAGGCTATATCTGTTCGTGGGCATACGCTGTCCCCCATTGAGGTATGTATTTCATAACTTACTAAACGTATTGTAATATCTATATCTGCCTCCAGAACAGATATATATAGGCCCAATAGGTCTACAGCCTATCGTCGTGACCTCGAGATTTCGTGGTAGTAAGCTATAATAGGCTACTGAATATAAATGGCCTTACCAATGTCTAAATTGAGCTACATGTTACAGCATGAAAACATGTTGGGCTACATTATGTGTTATTATGTGTTATTATGAAGTTATTGGATGCGCTAAGGTTTAGGCTAAGAGCCTATTCCATTTATTGGATTTAATTCGTATTAGGCTCGATCTCTTGTAATGAACAAATGAAGTATAGCATTTGATGAATTCAATCATTTATTTTTTAATCGAAAGAAATCGACGAGATGTCATAGCATGGAATGGGCATTTAAAAATATCTGTAAGTGAAGAACATGTTGATGTAAACATTCTTCACAGTGGCCAAACCATCGATGACATAGTCCCACCTCTTCTTTTTTTTTTACCAACTGCAAAAATATGATTTGTGATGCCCATGTTTTGAAGTTTACTGGAATGTTGTGTTAAAATTAGATATAAGATTGCCATAGTTGTCTTTTTAATTTAAACTTGATGTGTCTTTTAATCGCAGGATCGTTTGTGTGGCTATACCAAAGTGGACATGGTCGATAATGGTGGTAGGTGAACCTTCTTCCCTTCAATATGAGGCTGCATGGAGCCTATAAATCAAAATGCTGTGGATAGAATGTAGGCCTATAGATATTTCATATTGTAAAATGAACTTGACTTTGAATAGAAATATTTGGAGGAGGGCATCATTGGATGAATACGAATGAGGTTGGCTAAAAGCACTCAGAAATCTGAGTAGATTTTTTTCCCAAATTTGCATTTCGGTTATCACCGCTTCCTTGAAATTGAAAACGCAAATTAAATCGTGCTTCTGACCATCAAAGTAACATTTTGCCTTGAGTTAAGATGAGTTAGTATTGTATTCATAAAAGCTATTATTTCCAAGCTAAATCCTGCATTTCACGAACACTCTCTCACAACGGAGAAGCAATGGGAAAGCTTTCAAACACACACATAGGCCACTGTACTTTGCGTAAGTGGACCTGGAAATCAAATCACTATATGGCTCCATTGAAAGCCTTGATGCAGCAACTCATAAAGATAATAATAATAATAATAATAATAATAATAATGTGTTAAACTTCTATAGCGCTTTCCATAGAATCTAAAATCACTTCAAGAGCAGAGGTCAACCAATAGAGGCCACGTCTTTGAATGATACAGCTAATAGCTGTGGCTGCATCTCAAAAGTATTAGCTTGCTTTCCTCGTTTCGTCTCCTCTCCCTCTTCATTGATCTATTTGTGTAAGGGGTGTACCAATGCGCTGGAGAATTGTCCATTTATCAGCTATGTATAATAGTACAGCTATGTGTAGGCTAATTGTTCTGTTTTTGCTGTATCTATATAGTGTAGTCCTCCATACTGTATGTGGATTATGTATACATTCTTCGTTTATATATTCTGTCTGTATGTTATGTTTATTGTGGTCAGCACTATTTCACCAGGTCAAGTTCCTGGTGGCCTACGTGTAAATGTTCATGGCGAATAATGTTGATTCTGATTCTGATTCTTAGTGGTCCTAAATAGAGGGAGATGCCGTTGAACTGTAAACGACTTGGTCTTGAACAGCCCTTTCGACATGTAGGCTGGGGCCTATAGCATCTCTAGCAAGTGTTTTCATTCACACCAACCATTTGACGATAATCAAACCTGTCACTTTCTCATTATCAGGAATGAACGTATAGGCTACACAATACGTTGGGTCTACTAAATGTATTGCGGAAATGATAACTTAACGTGTAACTTGTTTAGTTCCTATAGGCACAACTCGCTTCAGAGACATAGTAAGGCATCAGTTGACAAATAACAACTGAGGCCATGGATCCTCCATGTTTTCTATCATATTTTAGTTGCCATTTGTTTTCCCAGATGTCATTCGCTATCATTGCTCTATCCTTAATGTGGAGGACACAGGCTATAGTAGCCTACATCCATCCATGATTCCCTTGTTGCTGTTGTCTAGAGAAGTTTGTTTTATACAACACACTGTATCGTTCCAAAAAAGTTTAAATAATACAAATATATTTTTATTTTTATTATTATTATTATTATTATTATTATTATTATTATTATTATTATTATTGTAGAATACTTACTGTAAAGTGCCGAGGGCGTTATGGTGTTTGGTTTACTTACAAGAGATGCCTGGCTGATTGGGCTACTGTGAATTCCCGCAAAGAAACGTCAGCACTGATAATAGACTATGAACTCGTAGATAGGCCCCAAGAATGGAGCCATTACGCAAATGACGCCAGACTATATGATGATGATTGCTTTCTCCTCAGTAGATACATCTAGTCTACATGACAAAAGTTAGGTATAAAATAATTCAGAGACATTATACAATAGAATCCCACTGAGCACACCACGTCATCCCAACGTGGATAATAGGGTAATATTTGGTTAAGAAGTTGATCAATGAGATTACAACATATATTCACCCACTCAAAGTGACAGCCAAACGTTAGTTGAATTTCCTATGTGTTATCACTGAAAGCAAATTCAACCATCTAAAAGCACAACCAAATTCCAGTGGAAAAACAATGTCTGCATTTGTTGTCACTCAAATGTCTCTCACTGCGCTTTCAACCATTTAAAAAGGCACAGCAAAGTTCAAATGGGAATACCATGTCAGATATTTTATTTATACAACAGATTAATGTGTTATCACTGTGCTTCATCTAATAGCAGAACCAAATGACCTGGATTGCAGTTGAGATTACATTAAAAGTACATGGTGCAAGTGATCAATGCCGTTCGAGAGTCTACTCAGATTATTACAGCAATTTTGAAGATCTCCACAGACCTCCGACAACCTATGCATGCTGTCTTGAACATGCACGCTTTATATGATTACATAATAAGACATGTATAGTTACAGTAACCTCAAAATGTGGCCATGGATGTGTTACTCATTTTAAGGTTGAATGTTACATTAGTTTGTAAAATAGCCTTAATTTTGGCCTATTTACTGTATTACAAAAGTAATATTGAATAGTGTTTGGTTGACAACGCAACCTAATATCAACATTTGAAGGAGATATATATTCTGCTTGGATAGTTTCATCTGTGCTACTGATTTAGTTTGGCTTTAATTCCAGTTTGTCTACAAATTAATCATTGATATGTTGGATTCACACCTCTACCAAAAAACAAAGTTAAAGAATAGGACTAAATCAAATCAAACTTTAAATGCACTTTAAACAAAAGTTAGATTTTTATAAGATACATCTCCTTCAAATGTTGATATTTGGTTGCATTGACAACCAAACAATGCAATATCACTAAATATCATTACATTTGAAATCAACCAGAGCTTGAAATCCTAGGCCTATTGTATTGTCTATTCTTAGTTGAATTAGGGGTTGAATTTAAACAATAACTGTTTATGATTTTGCAAACGCTATATAGACCTATATGATATATGAGTGATAAAGTATGGGCACATTTAATTTGCTCTGTTAAATCTACCCTTTGGAATGACTTCAATAGCAACAGTGAATCTATTTTGTTTTTAAGTCGAGATCTTTTAACAATCATTCGCATGACAGCACATTGGTAATAGTCAGTGACAAATATCATAGCAGGGCTTGGTTAAAACCCTGGATGGGAGACCAAAGGGTAGCTGTAGCTAGATAAATTATCCAGTAGGAGGTGCTGCCCAGACTATTGTTATTTTCATTAAAACAACGTTGATTCAACCAGTTTGTGCTCAGTGGGATGTGACTGCACAGCAATTAGTTATAATGTATGATATAGCCTCAGCCTAATAAGATACCTTTTTCAAACCAATAAGCACACCAGCACAGGGATAACAAAACAAATGTTATTTAAACTGGTAAAGAAACAATTTAAACATGAAACTCAAACTGTCTTTCGGTAAAATAAATGTAATCTATTATTTGATTATTTAGGCCTATGCAAATGGCGACTCATAAAGGTACTTACTATTTGTCTTTATTGGCACAACAGGTTATCAATCTATTATCCATAACTCACCACGACTGAGGAAATCTCTGTCAAATGATGTCTGTTTCTTACCTGTGTCTCAGACAGGTTCAGCTGCCTCGCCAGCTCAGTGCGCTCTCGGCCGACTACATACTGGCAGCGCTGGAACTCGAGCTCGAGCCGGTAGAGCTGCTCTGCAGTGAAGGAGGTCCGCGTGCGTTTTGGCCTGTCGAGGTCGAGACCCTTTGGCAACACGATCTCCCGGATGGTGCCCTTAGCATCTGTGGATGTTGCAGTCAGACACAGTGTCAAATGCCACAATTACAAAGAATAGTCTTAGGCTACTTTGCTTAACATTACAATTGCATATACTGTAGTACCAATGTCATAATTTTTTGGACATAGTTAAACATTGTGCTCCTTTATGGCACAAATGTGCGCTTTCACATTGTTAGGCCCACGCTATTTTAGAATAATCTTGAAGTGATCATTATTTTCAGCATGAGGAAATGTACGTGTAGTTTGCTTGCTTGGAAATTATAGCGTAGGCTAGACAAGCTACTAGGGAAATAAATACAGAAAAGGCATAAAATAGTATATATTGTAAGAATGACAATTTCCGTAAATAAAACTCAATGCACCTCACACAGAGATAATAAGCATATCCGTTAGAGATTTTACGCTTCAAATGCCTTAGAATAGTTTTCCTATACTTTCAACTGAGGAGGCTACATTCGGCTATGTCATGGAACTGGAAGTAAGGTAAAAACATGCTTCTGGCCGTTGTTGCATTGCAATATGTTTGAGGAATATTCCATAAAAGGAATAGCCAGAAGGCCGGAAAAATGAGAGCTGAAAGAAACATCGCTATCACATTTCTAAATTATACCTAATTTAACTAAATATTACGTGCATCGTCTGCCTCAGCGAGAGCGAATGTTTGCAGAGCATGTTTTAAGAGTTCTATTTCATTTATACTTCTGAATTTGCCATGCGTACTAGAACCCTGGAGAATGTAGCCTAGCGTAACCTAGGCTAGTTGATGCATCAATAATATTGCAATTTATGGGACAATATTACATTGTTTGGTTCAATACATACAACATCATGAAATGCGTATTTTTATATCAAATGAGGTAATATGCCTTTAGCAATACCAAAAAACTGTTGAGTGCAAAACAAATTGTGCAACGTTATCTTGAAAAGTTAAAAGTTACTATAAGTCCAAAATGACTGTTAATGTAGAAGGAATAGAAAAATTTATATTTTTAAACAAATGCCACTGCCTACGAAGCCACAATGGTCCCATCCATAGCCTACAACCTGCCCTAAACAAGAGATGTGTTCAATACTAATCAGTCAGCCAATACTGGACATATGGTTAAAACAACGAAAAGCTCCTCAAGTAGGCTAGAAAGAGGGACTGAAAACAATGAAATAATGTAGGTCCACTGTCCAAAATATGATTTAAAAACATGTGGCTAATCAAACTAAAATCAATCAATAAATGAGAATAAAATATACCAACCAGATATTTTCTAAATCCCTCAACGAAATCGGATTTGTAAAAATGTCCAGTATTTTGAAATAATATAGTCTTTACAATAGATAGGCCCACCTATAAGTGATAAATACATCTGAAACATATATATAAATCTGAAACATATACATATAGCCTAACCCAGCTGGATCCCACAATAAAATACAATCGTCAAATGAGGTATAGCCCTACAGCATTTCTGTCGTATAATGTTGCGCCTAAATCCATATAAATTCCCCAGCAAAACGTCCATCAAATTCTAGAAGCCTTGACAGAATGGAACAGGCCTATAATGTAAATACATGGCTCTGGGCCTACTGCTTCATGCGTAACCACCATTAGGCCTACTATTAGAAGTTTCCTTTGTCATTGCAGCCACATGAGTGGTATATATTTTCTAGGCTACACATATGGTTGCACCATTGACTACAGCCTATAGATTGCACATTTTATAGATGTTTATATTTCTGTATGAAGTAGACTACCGTCAGTGACTCCATATGTGTTGGCTACACTGGAAATAGCATCTAGGCCTATATGCAGAACAGTCTCGGGCACCATAGCCCAACTGCCATGGCATGCAAGCATGGTGTTAGCCAGAGCGACATGCAGAGATTAATTCTAACATGTCGAATATTTATGATTTCCGACTAATACATCATCCATTCATAACACGCTAGATTAAAATCCTCTCAATGTAAAACGTTATAACAGGGCCTTTAAAACAGTTTGCATGCGCATCGGGACGTCGCAGGTAGGACAGACAGGCTGACCTTTCGCTGACCCCGGGTTCTCACTAGGTATCCAGCGCATTCAATCGTCAGCTTTATAAACAAATAGTGACACCGGGGACTGCGGATTTATCTTGGATTTAGCGGAGGTCGTTCCCTGCTACAATTACCGGCTTTCTATTCAGATTCATCCCCCACCAAGACTGTTTCAGGGCCTGGGCATGAGCAGTGAACTAAATTATGTAGAACTTTCCAGTTGGCAATGTGTATGATCATCGTTGTTCAAATGAAAGGGCTAGTTGCACATTTGGTGAAAATCAAATGTGCACATGAAGGGGGGAAAGTTGAACTTTATTTTGTAAGGACTGATATTGATATTGTCAGTGCTTCTGTAATAGTTTTGCATGTTGATTAGCTGATATATCATGTTATCCTGATATGCATCCCACATTGGTGTGAAAACTATCTGGGTAAGCGGCATGGATATGATCTTTTTTAAATTCGTGGTCAACTTGAATATTATGAATAGGCATAAACTTAAATAAAATGTTTTTGCTGTTCACTATGACTATTATTTCTCCCCAAACATGTTTTTTCCACCTGTATTCTTTGGGGTTTGTTGACATCATAATGCATTGTACAGCCCTGCAAAGCAGTGCAAATACATATGTATATACGCTCTAAACACTACTATTGAGTTGCATTCAATTCATTTAATTCTAAGTCAGTCACATAGCCTAATTACTATCGACTATAAGACATGTAAGTATAGCATTTTATATAATTTTGGACACCTTTAACAATGTGACATGTTTTACCAATGCATACTCCTGAAACTATTTTATAATGTTTTAATAAACATTAAGAAGTTAACTGGTAATATACCAAATATGGAAGACCAATACTTTCCTCATAGATTTGCATTTAATAATATATTTTTTTCTGAAAGATGCATGGCTGTGGGTTTGTTGTGCTTTGAGAAGGGAATTTTGCTGAGGGGGTTGATTATTGTCATAATTTACTACAAACTATTGAAACATTATTGCCATCATGGCTGCATACAACTATAAGATATTTGGACATGGTAAAGTAACACATAACTCACACATAGAGTAATTATACAATTATATATTTTGAAATTAAAATAGGTAGCCTAGTGGTTAAGAGCTTTTGGCCAGTAACCGCGAAAGGTTGCTGGTTTGAATCCCCGAGCCGACTATGGGGGAAATCTGTTGGTGTGCCCTTTAGCAAAGCACTTGGGCCAAGCTTCCTGCCATCCAGGACCTCTATACCAGGCGGTGTCAGAGGAAGGCCCTAAAAATGGTCAAAGACTCCAGCCACCCTAGTCATTGACTGTTCTCTCTGCTACCGCACGGCAAGCGGTACCGGAGCGCCAAGTCTAGGTCCAAAAGACTTCTCAACAGCTTCTACCCCGAAGCCATAAGACTCCTCAACATCTAATCAAATGGCTGCCCAGACTATTTGCATGGCAGTAGGCCTAGAAAGGTGGTTCCCTTTCTTTTAAACAAAGCGGGTGTGGACAACTTACATTATTTATTATCACATTTTTTATAACTATGCCTTAACTCAAACAAAGGAAACAACATGACCACGAGTAAACACACTAAGACATACACATGATGGTTTGTGTTTTTAAAGTATTTTGTTTGCCAATGATTACTGAATCGTTTGTTGGCTCATATAGTACATAGCAAGTACTGCTATTATTATATGTGATCATATAATGTATATTATGATACTGATTATTATTGTTTAAATTGTGATTGATAATATTATTGATGTAAACAATTTTCTCAACAACAACAAAAAAAGAGAATACATCCTTACTAACCTCGAACTAAAATCCTCTGGCAGTAGTCTGGGTCCACTGGGTCCAGTTTATCATGTCCGTCTTCACTGGAGGAGGTGGGGGTAGACGCCGATGTACCCGCGGTATCGGTTGTACTCTGCACCGGCGACCTGCTCCCAAGTTCGGTATGGCATTTGTCCATCCGGTCACGGCACAGAGAGTTGGATCCACGGTGGTGGTGGTGGTGGTTGCGTTCCTCTGCGATCCCATCGCCCATAGTCGTGGCTTGATCGAACATCGATTCCAATATTGGTGTACAGATCTCCTGTATTCTTCACCTTGTTATTGGGCAGTTATTGCTAATCTTTTACTTTATTCCCCCTCCTTTGCAATAGTTATATTCAGATATGGTGGGGGAGACCATACCACAAAGTAGATCCAACTAGGCTACAAACCAGAACGAGCCACGCGGACCTGCGACAGACCCGAGCTGCCCTGCAAGTGTCTCGGCATGTTTCAGCAACTATCCTGCGGCCTGAAGTAGAGGAGAGAGATGGTGGATGTGGTGAGAAGGGGGAGGGGGGGGGGGCTGTGGACAAGCCAGATAGGGAACCTCCTCAGCTATAGGACCGCGCTAAACGCAAAACGCATGTTGTACGTATACAATAAGTGTAGCCTACAAGAGGAGACCAGATCTATGACCAAAGAAACTGGGAGGTGCTACACTTGCTCACCCACGTAAAAAATAAACTGAAAGACAAGCATGTAACCAGCAGCATGGTCTCTCTTAGTCTCTGCAAAGCCAGTCAGTTAACTCTGCATCCAAGAAAGGAAACTTTTTATCCAACCATGCACCCCAGAGCAGGGCTTGAAATCAGTTACTTTACCCCCGTTTGACTTGCTGGTTTCGGCGGCGCTGTGGTGGCATGGTCACGGCTGTTGGATTGTTGGTGGTCTGCTCGGGGTCTTCTGCATTTGGAGAGCGCAATAATGTCTGTGTAGAAAACGTTGAGGAGGGGGTGTTCAAATGGGGGAAAGGGTCACATAAGGTAAAACGAACCAAATAAGGCATGGCCATGCCATTCGTATGTATAATTATTGTATGATTGTTTAGATAATCTTGGTGGCTGTATATTTTATGTCTTGCGGGTTTGACAGTCGTATATGGACAATCTTGTAGTGGCAGGGTGCACTGACGTGGCTGTCACTAGTAACGTAATATCCGGTTTGCTCAGGCTAGTCTTTGATTGGTGAACAGACTCAGATCCGCGCACGTTCTATAAGTAAAAGGTCCAAGGATCCCCTGTTTTTTACTATAATTTCTAAATTGAAGACACTAGATAATTGTTTTCCTAACTAGTTTAAACTGAATAATAGATGTGTGCATATACTATGCATATCTATAGGATATTACAAATTATTTAAGCGCTATCGAAAAGAAACTGGCTACTCGAAGCCTGGAATAGTAAATGGATGCAATAAGCTCAGTAACCACAGTAGGCTATTTTGCCATGATTTTCTTTCGAGGGAAATTATGAAATTCCCTTGTACAAAGCCGGAATAGCATCTCGCGAAAACATTAAAGAAATGAGTTGAGAGAAGTTTAACAACTTTAGAGAACGTTTAAAGACCACATTTGCGTAAAATGCACAGTCTAAATAATAGCCTATAGCTAAAATGTCAATGATAAAACCGAAGTGCACTGCAGCCACTCATTAGCCTCTGTTACATTTTGGAGTTCACTAAAGATATTGGCCTATTGACAAGATCTATAGCCTACGCAGCCTTATTTATACAACAACAACAAATATGGTTATTATTGTTGATTGTACAATACATTTTGCACAACTCATGGACAAGACCTTTGATGGTAAATAGGCTTTTTTAAACTAGAGATGCAATAGTTTTTCCTCGAGCGTGCCTAGTTTTATATATTTATAAAATAGTCTTACTTGGAAAAGTTGAAATTTCTCCTTGAATGGCTTCAGTCAAAGTTTATATGCCTATTTTTTTTCTCTCAAACATTCACAGTTCTTCAGAAATGCATGAATTTCGCTAAATGATTTGGCCTTGTTCCATCGGTCCATTAGGCCTAATATTAACGAAAATATGAACAACACTTGGGCTGATTTGCCCAAATTCGCATTGAATAGCAATGGGTTCTGTTGTTATATGTTCTCAACTAAAGCTTTCATTTATTTTGAGTTAATTACATACCTACCATTGTTATGACTGCGCTGTATAGCCTAATTGTGGCTTTTGCGAATTGTAACTGGGAACAACCGCAGGTGGTCGTCTGTTGTAGGCCTATACACATTTACAAGGCAAAAAACATCCACATTGGGAATGAATAGGATTACATAATTACAGTTTCGCAATGTAGGAAGGTGATAATTATTAAATAGCTGATTATTCGTTTCAGATGTTGTAATCTGTGAATGCGTTGAATGTACCTGTCAATCAAATCCCACACTCAGCAGTAAGATAAAAGAGGATTGATTGCCACAACAGCTCTGTGTGTGTGAGGGTGACCACACCCACCCAGCCACCCACACACACTTAAAATGTGTTGCAGTTTTAATAGGCCTACACTTTCCCACACCCGCAATCCCTCATCCCATAGAGGCCGAACGTCATTCATGTCATCATCACACTGGTTTAATTGTTCAACTATTCAAACTTCATCACGTGTCTACATCAATAATATCATCGATCAAAATTAAAATATTAATCAGTATCATAATATACACTATGCCAATCATATTAGTTTTCCTCAGTTCAATGCATCCAATATACACTATATCACACTGACAAACACCAACGACTACCCATGGGGCCATAATTGTTTCAGTCACATGATGAATGATGTCCGTTGTATACTGTGTTTTAATGTGGAATGTGTTTTGTTGATTTGATACTGTAAACTTAATTGCCATTCTTAGTTTCCCCTGAGGTGATAAATACATTTGTATTGAATTCAATCAAATTGAACTGAATGCTTCAGTCTCTTGCCAGTCATATGTCAAAATGTCGTTTCCTCCATATGGTTACACATTTCACACATCTGTTGACGTTTCTACTTATAGCTCAGAGAAAATTCCTATTTACACTCCATCCATATAACTATAGGACGAAAAGTTGTAGGCCTAAACCAATCATTTTTCCTTACCATGTGTTCTGCCATATAGCCTTTCAGGTCCCAGTCTTAATTGTCAGACAACACCATAACATTTTATTTTTCTTTCACTAATGACACATATTTGGAAAAATATTGAATTCATATTGTAGGCCTACAGAATAGGTGACTGTTTTACAAAGTCTGACGGCATACAAAAACGTTACAGGTAATGACGAGCCTCCATTTGAAATCTATATTTAACCATTAAATAATTGTAATCTTATAGCCAAATGTATCTCCGAATTACAACGTAGTCTGTTTGTGTGTCTGATTCAACGCCCAGTGGATATGGATCTTATAAATCAGTCCAGATTACTGTAATCCAACGGGGCAATGTTGGGGTACCAGGCCATGCAAAATTCACAGTCAACAGGCTTTACGCCACCAAATCTATCAAAGAAGATTTTGCAAACAAGTTGTGTGGTTGGGTTGCGTTATAGGCTACCTGAGGCCTCAGCCTGGAGGCCTAGATCCTGTATGTAACAGGGGTTAGCCTAAAGCAGTTTAAATCAGAGGTAGAGGCATATTAAATATAGCTGTTTCTGTTGCATTCTCAGATATTGGTACCTTGCCCTGCCTTGAGTTTTTAAGTGTTTTTAAAACAAAAACATTGTTAAATGTTACTTGTTATCTTGGCATTTAAAGTAGTTTCATGATTATCATTATTGTTATATGTCAATATATTTGTAAATGACTATCGAAATGAGTTCCATGGATTGTAGGTCATAACATTTGTTTTAGGCTACATTTTTTTTGCTAAAACGATGGCAGCTATTTTTTCGTTTTCATACATCTTAATTGTCTTTACTAAAATAAACGCATTTTCTTAGGAAAAAATAAAGTTACTAATTATCATGTACAGTGCCTTCAGAAAGCATTCATGCCCCTTGACTTATTCCACATTTTGTTGTGTTACAGCCTGAATTCAAAATGGATGAAATATGATTTTTTTCTCACCCATCTACACACAATACCCCATAATGACAGAGTGAAAACATGTTTTGAAAATTTTACTTTTTTTATTGAAAATGAAATACAGAAATATCTCATTTATATAAGTAAATAAGTCAATACATGTTAGAATCACCATTGGCAGTGATTACAGCTATGAGTCTTTCTGGGTAAATCTAAAAGCTTTGCACACCTGGATTGTACAATATTTGCACATTATTATTACTTTTTTTATTCTTCAAGCTCTGTCAAGTTGGTTGTTGATCATTGCTTGACAGTCATTTTCAGATATTGCCATAGATTTTCAAGCTGATTTAAGTCAAAACTGTAACTAGGCCACTCAGGAACATTCAATGTTGTCTTGGTAAGCACCTCCGGTGTATATTTGGCCTTGTGTTTTAGGTTATTGTCCTGCTGAAAGGTGAATTTGTCTCCCAGTGTCTGTTGGAAAGCAGACTGAACCAGGTTTTCCTCTAGGATTTTGCCTGTGCTTCGCTCTATTCTGTTTCTTTTTATCCTAAAAGACTTCCTAGTCATAACCCATAACATGATGCAGCCACCACCATGCTTGGAAATATGAAGAGTGGTACTCAGTGATGTGTTGGATTTGCCCCAAACATAACTCTTTGTATTCAGGACATAAAGTTTATTTCTTTGCCAAATGTTTTGCAGTTTTACTTTAGTGCCTTATTGCAAACAGGATTCATATTGTACAGGCTTCCTTATTTTCACTCTGTCAATTAGATTAGTATTGTGGTAAGTACAATGTTTTTGATCCTCAGTTTTCTCCTATCACAGCCATTAAACTCTGTAACTGTTTTAAAGTCACTATTGGCCACATGACAAAATAGCTGAGCAGTTTCCTTCCTCTCCGGCAACTGAGTTGGGAAGGACGCCTGTATCTTTGTAGTGACTGGGTGTTTTGAAACCATCCAAAGTTTCATTAATAAATTCACCATGCTCAAAGGGATATTCAATGTCAGCTTTTTTTTCACCCATCTACCAATAGGTACCTTTCTTTGCGAGGCATTAAACCACCCTGGTCTTTGTGATTGAATCTGTGTTTGAAATTCAATGCTCGACTGAGGAACTTTACAGTTAATTGTATGCGTGGGGTACAGAGATGAGGTAGTCATTAAAAAATCATGTTAAACACTGTTATTGCACACAGAGGGAGTCCATGCAACTT